TGTCGTCTTCGTCGTCGTCGTCATCATCCCCGTCGTCGCCGTCATCGGGGTCCCCGCCAACAGGCTATAAACAAGAATGTTAGTAAAAAGTTAATTGCGAGGCTCCACGCCACTCACCTGGGCCTTGGCCTTTCCTTTTCCCTTGTCCTTACGGACTTCCACCACGGGCCGTCGTGGGGAAATCGAACTTCCTCCTGGCGAAGACCCCCGCCGACTGCGAGCGGCGGCCGCCTCCGCCATCAACCTCCGGCGCTCCTCCAACTCTCGGGCGGCAGCTTCCTTCTTCCTCTGCGCCTCTTCTGCAGCCTTCTTGGCCGCTTCTTCTTCGGCTTTCCTTCTGGCCGCCGCCGCCGCCTTCCTGGCTTTCATCCTGCGGACTGTTTCTTCGGCCTGTCGGATGGCTTCGTCGTCGTCTTCTTCCAAGGCCTCGTCGTCGTCGTTAACCGGATCGGCGGGAGGCGGGTTTAAAGGGCGCGACCTTGAAGGGCCGGCCGTAGTGGAGGAAGGAGTGGTGATTGTCTGAGTACGGCTGTGTGACATTGTTGACTTAGGAAATTGGGGAAAAGTTAGGGCCACATCGGCAAAACCTGGCCCTTTTTATAGGGACAAAATGGCGCACGGACCAGCGAAAATTTTTCTTCGAATTGTACATGGCCTACGGTGCACCGAAAATTTTCTTGGATGACTAACAACAATCCCCGGCACCAACGGCGTTTGAAAATTTTTCTGCTGACTGATGGGCCAAATTCCCGAGGCTGACGGCCTTTAAAATTTTTCCTTGGTGACTAACCAACTACCGGTATTAATGGCTTTCGAGGGCTCAAGCCTAAGAGGGGGATACTGTCAAGTCCATGCCGCGGGCCTCCATTCCGCCGTTCGGGATTCCGAAGATCTGCTCCTTATTGTTATCTCACTCTTATTGTTCTTTCTCGCTACACATACCCTTTCGTTCTAGTCCCTTCTTATTGTCTTTTACTCTACCCTGCAGGTACTACTCGTATAGCTCCTAGTAGTTAGTCTGGCGCTCCGCACCGCTGCGCCGATCCGTAGATATAAATACTGCCTGTACGCTACTGTAGTTCCTCAGTTTAATTATCGACTTAGATTCCCTCTTTCACTCTGTGCTCCTCTAAGTCTTCAGGCTTACTGCCTTGAAGTTCTCTCTACTCTACCTTAGGACTTATACGTTCTCTGGTTCGCTCCTCGTCACCGGCGTTATCGCCGCTCCGACTTGGCTGCTACTCAGCTCCTCTCTTCTATACTCTCGACCTCCGGGGACATACGGCGTAACGGCGGTGTTGTTAATAACTTCACTACTGTCCCATTCGTATTCCGCACTTAGACACCCTGTGGCCTTGGCACGGTTACACGGTGTACATGATCTTAACAATCGTTTCCTAGAAGAAAACCTACGGAAAGGCTATATCGTCCCCTCAAAATCACCAATCTCATCACCAGTCTTCTTCGTAAAGAAGAAGGATGGGAAACTCCGTTTTGTACAAGACTACCGGAAACTGAACGAGTACACTGTGAAGAACCGATACCCTCTCCCATTAGTTGCTGACATCATTAGCCGACTTCAGGGAGCAAGATACTTCACGAAGTTTGACGTCCGCTGGGGTTACAATAACATACGGATTAAGAAGGGGCATGAATGGAAAGGCGCGTTCGCAACCACCCGAGGCTTGTTCAAGCCTAAGGTCATGTTCTTTGGTCTCACAAATTCCCCTGCCACGTTCCAAGCACTTATGAATGCTATATTTGCTGATCTCATTGCAGCCGGCAAGGTGGCAGTTTACCTAGATGACATCCTTATCTTCAGTAACGACCTCGAGGAACACCGACGAGTGGTACGGGAAGTATTAACTTGGTTAGAAAAGCACGACCTCTATCTACGACCCGAAAAATGCGAATTCGAACAACAACAGATTGAATACCTTGGACTCATCATCTCAGAAGGGGAGGTGAGAATGGATCCGGTAAAAGTAGTGGCTGTTCGTGACTGGCCAGTCCCTACTAACCTTCGGGAACTACGAGGGTTCTTGGGATTTGCAAACTTCTACCGACGCTTTATCCGGAACTTTGCCAAAATAGCATGACCTCTGAACGACCTGACGAAGAAAGACACCAGCTTTACCTGGACCGACACTCGACAGAAAGCATTTGACACCCTTCGAGAAGCCTTCATCTCCGCACCAATCCTTGCTCTATGGACACCAGACAGGCCTACTCAAATCGAGGTAGACGCATCAGGCTTTGCCACGGGAGGTGCCCTTATGCAGAAGCAAGACGACGGCCAATGGCATCCGGTAGCCTTCAGATCGGCATCCATGCAGCCAGCAGAACGGAACTACGAAATCTACGATCGAGAGATGCTTGCTTTCATTGAAGCACTGAAGGATTGGAGGAACTTTCTAGAAGGACTCCCTCAACCATTCGACATCATTACGGACCATTCAAACCTCGAATTCTGGCGCACTGCACAAGACCTCACCCGCCGACAAGCCCGATGGGCCCTCTATCTGTCACGGTTTGACTTTCATATGATCCACCGCCCTGGCAGAGTAAACACCCAAGCTGATGCTCTCTCCCGCATGGCAGTTCATCATGTATCGGACAGTGATGATAACCGGCAACAGACAGTCCTTAAACCTGGCCACTTCGTAAAAATTGCAGCTTCGATCCTACGGAACCCCTTAGAGGATCGTATCCGGAAAGCCTCAGAACGGGAAGCACAGGTATTGGAGGGTCTCAAAACAGTCAAAGAGCATGGACTACAGCACTTGGCCAATGGGATAGCCGAATGGGAAGAGGACAATGGGTTGGTCTACTACCGAAGTCGGGTATATGTACCAGCAAACGACGACCTACGCATTGAGGTACTCCGTCAATGCCATGACCATCCAACTGCAGGACACCCCGGACTACACGGGACACTCGACTTGGTCAGTACCCATTTCTGGTGGCCCACGCTGCGCTCTTTCATGGAAAAATACGTTGAAGGATGTGAGGTTTGTGCCCGTAAGAAGATCCAACGACACCCACGGGCCGTAACACAACCATTAGATGTACCATCTGGTCTATGGGAAGAGGTAGGGGTTGACCTGATAACACAGCTACCTAACTCCCAAGGCTACGATGCTGTCTTGGTCTGCACAGACCTGTATGGAAAACAAATTCACGCTATTCCTTGCACCAGCTCCATCACAGCCGAAGGCATTGCCGATATCTACTATCGAGAGATCTTCCGTCTCCATGGTCTTCCTCTTCACTTTAAATCCGACCGTGGACCCCAGTTTGCAGCTAAACTCATGCGATCCCTTCTCGCTAGGCTAGGAATTAAATCAGATCTAACCTCCGGATACCGTCCTCAGTCCAATGGCCAAACCAAATGAGCAAATCAGGAAGTAGAGAAATACATCCGCCTCTATGTGGGACGGCGACAAAACGACTGGGCAGAGCACCTCCCCATGGCGGAGTTTGTGATTAACTCACGAACCCATTCTGCTCTAGGCATGTCCCCGTTCGAGCTAACCTACGGCTATCTTCCCCTGTTCAATATCCCAGTTGGCCAATGCAGCGGTATTCCAGCTGTGGATGACCATATACGGATTCTCCAAGAAGCGCGACAAGATGCCGGGGCTGCTTTACACCTAGGAAAAAAACAACAGAAGGAGGGATACGAACACGGGAAGCGGAAAGCTCATCAATTTAAAGTTGGAGACCTAGTCTGGCTTAGTGCAGAGGACATTAACCTTCAGCTTTCCAGTGAGAAGTTGGGAGATCGGCAGCTTGGCCCTTATCACATTCTAGAGAAAATTGGCCCTTTAGACTACCGCCTTGACCTCCCCCTATCCCTAGATCACCTTCACCCCGTCTTCCATGTTGATAAACTATACCCATGGAAAGGTAACTCCATTAATGGCGAAATACCAACACCACCAGAGCCGGTATACTTAGAGGATGAAGATGAACCGGAATACGAAGTTGAGGAGATCTTAGACAGTCGGGTTCGATGGAAGAAGTTGGAATACTTGGTTAAGTGGAAAGGTTACGACGCAGGGCATAACTCTTGGGAACCCGCAGCCAACCTCAGTCGGGCACCAAAAATTGTTTGGGCCTTTCATAAAAAACACCCAACAGCGGCAAAACCTTGACCATCGAGGGCAATAGTCATAAGGAAGGGGGTAATTGTTGAACGCGGCTATGCTGTTCACATGCCACTAATATGATCATGTGTTATGATATGTCATATGTAGTCATATCTAGTCATTTACTATATGCGGATTCCTCTGTACTTCCTTATGTAATACTGTCATACAGTTATGTATATAAACAGGCCATATCCTGTACTGGAATCCAACTCGCTTCTCTCTTACTTTTATTGCCTCACTGAGACACTAAGCTCTACTACCAGGTATGGTACTGGAGAGTGTTCCCACTATGCACTCCTTGCCTGCTCAACAGTAATGTCATAAAGTATGCAGCCCCTATCATTTTCCTTTTCTCACCGTCTCGACGCCTTTACTTGTACAATACATCATCCCATCACTGTCAAACCCCCATCGATTACTGATCCACCTGACCCATCTTCTCTTTCTACTGGCTTCCACCACCTTCCTTGCCCCTGAACTGTACAGTATTACATCGTTGTTTCTCGCAGATCAGATTATGTATATATAGCCAACCCTCCACAGCCTGGTCCCTTATCTTGACCTCTCTGTCATTATCTGGGACCAGTTCGCCTCCGCTCCACCTCGTTGACCTGCTCAGTCGCTCCGCCTCACCGCCTTGCTTAGTCACTCCGCTTTCCCGCTCTGCTAGTCACTCTGCCTCTGCCGCTTTGTGACAGCAACTCAAGTTTCATTCTCCCTTATTTTCTTTGGGCTTCTGTATGCTACATATAATCTTATAACTTTAGGCACATTCTGGCCTTGAGATTAATATACCTTTCCAATATGTGCTAAGTGCCCGATATCATTTTGCGAGCTAGTAATACCCTAATAAAAGCCAAATATCAGGAGGGCCTGATATGGCTTGTCAACATACTTAACCTCGTCCTCTGACAACTTCAAATCTAATGCATCAATCAAGTCAAAGAGATTCTTCATGGAGGCGGTTCCGACTATAGGATCAGCAACAACTTAAACACAGTAAGTACAACCTGGCAGAAATGAGAGATCAAAACTTAAATTTTACTTTCTCTAGTCCACAACCAAGCTAGAGCAACTTGAGCCATGGTTACCCCCTTCTTCTTCGCGATTTCTTTGACGCTACGTAGTAGAAGCCCTCATTAGTATGCATGGCAATGGTTCAGGTAAGCCTTACTGCTCTATAATTTGACGACTACTATCATGTTCATATCCTTTGACTATGCTGAAATTGGTTTCTAGTAGTTAGCTAATAACTGCTCATGCAGAGGGAGAAGGGGTGCAGATGGCGAGGGGGTATAACAGTTCGAAACTCACAAATCGGTTCCACTACGAGCTGTTTGCTCAGATGATGGATGAGTCAACATTCCTCTGGTAAGAGGGGACCAGGGGATAGAGCCGACACCAAAGTGCTATTTTCAGAATTAATTGATCTCAGTGAGTATGACAGATTTCGTGCATTGAACCCTTATTGACCAAACATTACCTTCAGACTCGGAACCATCTCCCGTTCTTCTTCACGATAAACCATGTTGTAGTGGTTTTGCATCGAGATAAATGGGGTGAGCTTGTTCGTGATTGCATGGTCTACAGAAAGACACTTGTCAGTTCTAATGTAACATATCAACAATTGGTGAACAGGAGGGAGGAGCTTAATTGGATAATGAATGAAAACTCACTCTGCATTATATGGACTATATACTAAAGACAAGTCAATAATTTTGAAGTCAGTGGTTGGAGATCAGTGCAAAACCGGAAAAGAATACATACATTGCCAAGCACGACAAGATGACATTCCAATGTAACAAACATATCCAGCTTGGACAACATTGTGAAGAGCTTGCATCTAAATTATTGAATGGTCAAAAGTCTCTTCAACCAATGATGGAAGCTGTGGCATGAGAATGGACCCTCGTACAGTTTCTTCCAATGGAGTGTTTGGATCCACGCGATGGTCTACCGATGGGTTGATTGTTCAGAGCTGAGAGGTGAGAGCTACAGAATAAATTACTTACATTGAAGAACATCAATGTAATCAAGTTGCAGATGCTCCAAACTGGCTTTCACTGTGGCAAAGATGTGCTACCAAGGCAATCAATTCAGAAAGCACAGACAATAGTATTTGATTTATTTAGTATTACCTTTCGACTTCTGCCCCACTGGTTCACATATCCATCTTGATCTGCATGCACAAAGTCAGCATAGACTCCACCTTTATAGTCTGGAGTACATTCAATGACCCCTGCAAACTATTTATAAGAATTCATCCTTTATGTTGAAATCAGGCTGGAGCATAATTGACTCGGAAGGGGTATGATTTACATACTTTGGTCATTAGGACGATTTCCTCTTGTCATGCCCTGACTGCAACCAGAACCGTCCCAGCACCAACCATATGCTCCCATATCTCTTATCTAGCTCTGTACCCCCTCAAGACAGTACCACCATTCCCCTGTAACCTTCCCATTACCTGACACATATACAGGACCTCCTACAATCAACTCCATTAAGTAGCAATCTCAATTACCTGCCTCATGTCCGCCAGATCCCCTGATGTCTCCTTGTTCACTTCCCGTACCTATTTAAGTAGTTCCGCAACGTCCCCAAGCCCCAGCTTGGTATATTTTGAACACACACCCTTTGTACCTGCTAACCATACGGATTTCTCTTTACTCTCAGTTTCTCTTTACTCTTGTCTGTTGTCTCTCTGATCATCTATACAATCAAATATATGCTTTTACTTCAAATCTAAGCCATCCGAGTGAGTCTCTGAGCTCCCCAACGCCTAAATGCTTTAGTGAGCTACCCTTCCCCAAACCTCCTCGAGCTCCCTAGCTACTCCATAGGCTTTGGGACCTCAATCTAGGTAACGTCGAAGCTATCTCTTATGTCGAACTACGTACCGCTTCTCCATTACAACCTCCAACACTCGAGGACGTCCACCCTCAAGCCCAGTCCCTGGGGGCCTACCTCCCAGGCGTATACCTTCTCAGGAGCTTACACACTCGAAACCCATCTCCACTATGACCTATTCGATCCTACATTGACGTTCTAGCAAGTACAACTCCTACTACGCAATACTACTAGGTCCCGTACTTCTACCTAACCTCCCTGGACCTCATAGGAACCCCTTCAAGGGTCATATCTCTTCATCCCAGCCACTACTAGGTCATTCCTGACCTCGGTCGCGGTTCCCGTAGCTCCCTTCGAGCTCCAGCCTGCTCCTAGCACGCTACAACATCAACCCTTTTATACCAAACCCTACCTTAAGACCTATTCTGACCCAGGTCTTACAGGCTTTGATTCCACTGGGGCAAGGAGGTGAGCCATGGTGTATCTCCTGCGTCTACGATTTCTTGCAGCAATGGCGTTGACATCCTCGTTGCTCTCTTCATCAATTTACCTGCCGCCGCTGCTAGGTTTGGGTTCCGAAGTATTTGGATAGCCTGGTAGTTCGGGATATTAACCCTCAAAGGGGGAGGTTCGAATCGTATGGCTCCTGATCTGTAGTTAGATGCTCGGTACAATATACATAGCCCCGCTTCGCCACAGAACTCCTTCTCTTTTCCATGGGTATGAGGGAGGAGGGGAAGTATTACCCTCGAGTTTCAGAATGATCGTCCGTAACAAGCCTCTGCCTCTAACAATTCTAACATCTGCTCCGGGTCCAATAGGACGTTGTACAACCAGAGAAAGTCTGATCGGTTCGCCGGGGTCATCAGCCACTGTTGAGCCTTCTCTGGGAGGTCTATTTCCAGTTGAGTTCCCACTGTTAGGAACTGTACTCATAGGTCTGAAAATTCGAGACCGTCTCCCAATATTTTGATCCCCATTGACTCCAATACCTCCCGTAAGACCATAGCTACGTCTTCCGGGATACACTCCTGGATTCTAATGATGTCTTCCAATTACAACATCATTTCCGACAATGGTTGCATGGGGAAGTTGGTCCTGCTAATGCTCCCAGCTGTGCGTATTCATAGCAGGACTCTTCAGGAGGCTGGAGAGCAAACTTCCTCGTCTCGGAGGAGGAGGGTTAAGGGACTGTACGGGCAGAGTCGGTAACCTCCTGGATGTCACAAAGCGGCAGAGGCGGAGTGACTAGCGGAGCAGGAAAGCGGAGTGACTAAGCAAGGTGATGAGGCGGAGCGACTAAGCGGAGCGGAGGCAAACTGGTCCCAGATAATGACAGAGATATATTGAGTATCGTAGTCATAGGTAGTAATAAGTAAGCACATACCTGGTCCCAGATAATGACAGAGAGGTCAAGATAAGGGACCAGGTTGTGAGGGATTGGCTTTATATACATAATCCGATCTGCGAGAAATGACGATGTAATACTGTACAGTTTAGGAACAAGGAAGGTGGCGGAAGCCAGTAGAAGGAGAAGGGTAACAGGTGGATCAGTAATCGATGATGGGGGTCAGGTGGATCAGTAATCGATGGGATTTGACAGTGATGTAATCGTACAAGTAAGGGTGTCGAGACGGTGAGAAAAGGAAAATGATAGGGGCTACGTACTTCATGACACTGGAGGACGCCTGAGACTGTTCAGATGCTGCGGGCGATACCCTCCTGTTGACGTACTGTAAGAGGGTCCGCATTGGAGTTGTACCCACTAGAATGTCAAAGTAAGATCGAATAGGTCGTAGTGGAAGTGGGTCTCAAGTGTGTAAGCTCCTGAGGAGATATACGCCGGGGAGGGAAGGTCCCGGGAACTGGGGCTTAGAGGTGGACGTCCTCAAGTGTTGGAGGTTGTAACGGAGAAGCGGCACGTAGTTCGACGTAGGGGGTGGCTTCGACGTTACCTAGATCGAGGTCCCAGAGCTTGTGGAGCAATTGGGGAGCTCGAGAAGGTTTGGGGGAGGTTAGCTCACCAAGGCGTTAGGCATTGGGGAGCTTTAGTATTGTTTGAGGGAGCTTGGAGACTCACTCAGATTGCTTAGACGTGAAGTAAAAGTGTATATTGGATCATATAGACAATTGTAGAGACAATAGACAAGAGTAGAGAGAAACTGAGATAGAGAAACAGAAAGTAAAGAGAAATCCATATGGTTAGCAGGTACAAAGGGACAGTGACTGGACCTATGCAAAAGGGTGTGTGTTCAAAATATACCAAGCTGGGGCTTTGGAACATTGCGGCGCTACTTAAATAGGTACGGGAAGTGAACAAGAGAACATCTGGAGACATAAGGCAGATAATTGAGGGAGGAAGGTAATCGAGATTAGTACTTAAAGGGGTTGGCGGCTAGGAGGGTTTTGTATGCGTGTCGGGGTGAAGGACATTTGGGTAGGTATATCAGGAGAATGGTGACATTTGGGGAGGTGCATGGTGGTACTTGGGGAGGTGCAGAGGAGGTGCAGGAGGTGGATAGGATGTGTGACAACATGTGGCAGGTACTGGGATTGGTCTGGTTGTAGCCAGGGCATGACAGATTGGCTTTATATACATAATCCGATCTGCAAGAAATGACAATGTAATACTGTACAGTTTAGGAACAAGGAAGGTGGCGGAAGCCAGTAGAAGGAGAAGGGTAACAGGTGGATCAGTAATTGATGATGGGGGTCAGGTGGCTCAGTAATCGATGGGATTTGACAGTGATGTAATTGTACAAGTAAGGGCATCGAGACGGTGAGAAAAGGAAAATGATAGGGTCACGTACTTCATGACAGGATGGACTAGCAGTTTGGCAAGGACACATCTATGTCCCTAAGGACAAAGAACTCAGAGGATCAATCATACAGGCACATCATGATGCCCAAACAGCAGGACATCCTGGCCGCTATAAAACTATTGAGTTGATTACATGCAACTACTGGTGGCTAGGAATCAGTCAAGACATCAAGATTTACATAGAAGGCTGCGAAAAATGTCAGGCTACAAAGACACATTGTACCAAACCTGTAGGACCATTACATCCACATGACATGCCATCTGAGCCTTGGGAAATCATAGGAACAGATATTGTCAGTGACTGGTTCTAGTAACGGGTGTTACCAGGTGTCACACTCAAGAAAACCTCAGATGGTGGAGCGATAAAGGAAGTAAGCAAAGTTCTGGACTAAACCAGGTAGAATAGACGAGATCAAAGCTAAGGAAATACAGCAAGTAACTACAGCCTATATACAAGTAAACAACCCTCTGCCCTAGTAATGCCCAACGCCCTGGGTTAGTGGCAAACATGAGTAGAACATGTTAAGATCATGTACACTGTGTAACCGTGCCAAAGCCACAAGGTGTCTAAGTGCGGAAGACGAGTGGGAAAGTAGTGAAGTTATTAACAACACTGCCGTTACGCCGTTAGTCCCCGGAGATCGAGAGTATAGAGGGAGGAGCTAAGTAGCAGCCAAGTCGGAGTGGCGGTAACGCCGGTGACGAGGAGCGAACCAGAGAATGTCTAAGTCCTAAGGTTATAGTAGAGAGTACTTCAAGGCGAGGAGCCTGAAGACTTAGAGAAGAGTGAGAGTTGAGAAGGGAGATCTAAGTTGATAATTAAACTGAGGAACTACAGTAGCGTACAGGCAGTATTTATATCTACGGAGCGGCGCATCGGTGCGGAACGCCAGACTAACTACTAGGAGCTATACGAGTAGTACCTGCAGGGTAAAGTAAAAGACAATAAGGAGGGACTAGAACGAAAGGGTATGTGTAGCGAGAAAGAACAATAAGGAGAGATTACAATAAAGGTAGATCTTCGGAATACCGTGCGGCGGAATGGAGGCCCGAGGCATGGACTTGACAGAACATAAGTAAAGCAATGTGTAAGTAATGAAAGCTTGATCGTTATGCTGTGTTTAATATAAGTAAATGAAAAGTGCATGTTGTATCAGTAAGCATGAATAATAGGTCAGGTGACAAGATAAGACAAGACATAGGATAAGGGAGATAGAAGATAAAACAAAAGATAAAAGATAAGACAAGGGATAAGGAAAAAGATTGACAAGTGCTTCAGATGGCATGGTACTTGGGACTGGTTCTATATCTGGTGTAGGTATTGGTCGGAACAATTCAGTAGGAAACTGAGCAATCGGAATCTCGATCCGTAAGGGTTCGAGGCCTGGGCTGTCATGCCCTGCCTACAACCAGACCAGCCCCAGTACCCGCCACACGTTGTCACACACTCTATCCACCTCCTGCACCTCCCCTACACCTCCCCAAGTACCTCCATATACCTACCCAAACATCCTTCACCGATGATATGACCCATTTTTT